GTTATTTTGAACTTCAAATATTAGAGTCTTTTTGATTTAACAAAAAGGGGGAGAAGTGTGAAAGTGTTAAAGTGGAGAAGTGTTAAAAGTAAGGGGGAGTAATTTCAAACTTGATTTCAAAATCTTAAAATTACTCAAATGTTTTGTTATATCAAAAAGGAGGAGATTGTTGAAAACATTTTGATGTTTCGATATAACAATTTAAGTTAAATGAATTTTAAGATTTTACAAAATATTTTCTAAGTATATTCGATGTAATTATTCGAATATCAAAATATTACTCCAAGTCTTTCAAAGTTCATTTTAATCCTTACTAAAGTGTAAAATTGTGTTTTATACTTAAACTATTTTAAAACAATTTTACAAAGTATTTCGAGCCTTAATCGAGCCAAAAATATTTTATTTTTAAAGGGTTTCAAGAAAAATCAGATTGTCCAGGGGTACAGATTCCCCCAGGGGGTATCGATTCCCCTGGAACAGATTCCCCCCAGGGGTATCGATTCCCCGGGTACAGATTCCCCCTGCATGGTTTGGCTCCGAGAAATAACAGATTACTCGGAGGGAACCGATTCCCCCCTTGAGGGTATCGATTCCCTCACTGTTCATCAGCCCAACGGTCATAATATTTGAATATTACGAAGGGGTATCGATTCCCTATGAAGGGGTACCGATTCCTCCCATTCTGGGCAGTCTATTTTTGCAGAAAAATCATTCCCAAACGGCTCCAAAACATCCCCAACGGCAAGATATTACTTCAAACACATTCCAAGCTATAAATACAAGCTAAGGACACTTGAAGAAGTAATAGAACAACTATCCAAGCAATCAAACACAAGAGAAGAATTTTTCATTCTTATTTCATCTTTCTCTTGTATATATTTTGTTCTTGTGAGCTCAATTTTGTAAACACCTACCTTAGAGAGGTTTTCTTGTTTACATTTCTTATCCTTTTGTAAAGGGGAAAGGTTCTAGCTTAGCCCGTGTAAAAGCTAGGGAAAGGTTCTAGTTTAGCCCGGAAAAACTAGGGAGTTTGTAAGGTTACTCTTTATCCTCAAAAGAAAGAACAAATTAGTGAATTTGTTGGAAAATCCTTGGTGAGGAGCTAAGGTAGTGGACGTAGACTTTGATTGAGAAAGTCGAACCACTATAAATCACTGTGCAATTCTCTATTTTTCAATCTCCTTACTCCCTAAACACAAAACCGTTCCGACCCCTCTTTGTAAACCGTTCCTGTTGTCGATTCAAGCTTCCGAAGATGGGTTTATAGTGTGAAAAGCATCGCTTCCTTCATAAAAAAATAATAATAATATAAGTTGTTTATGTCGTGTGACATGATTGCTCTTATTTTATTCTAAATATTTAGGTCGACGCACGTTTTTAAGATAAATTATTTTCTCAAGGCATTTAAAAAAAATAAAAATATTAATTTAACAATCATATAATAAAAAATGTTATAACAGAGTTGAATTTAACATAAGAGTTTTAGCTGTATTATTGACATAATTTGATTTTTTAAATCCAAGAACTTGAAAAATTAAAATCTTGGGAATAAAAGTAGGGTGACTAAATTTCAAACGTGGGAAGAGTAAAAGGACTTAAACATATTTCAACCAATTATTTATTCATGTTATACTTTTTTTAAATAAAAAATTAAGTTTTTACTGAAAAAAGGAGTTACAGATGCAATACAAATCCAACATTGGAACCCTAAAAATGAAAAAATAAAACTAAAACCTTCTCTTAAATACATGCTTAATCTTAAAAAAAAATAGCAACTTTCAATAATCTCAATATTTCTATTTAAAATTAATCGTAATTTCAATGACGACTTAGAGCGTTGATTGATTCTGCACTATTAGACGTCATGAAACCATATCTTGCTCCAAGTTGATGTACTCTTGACCATCTTTCAAACCCGACATCTTCTAGTGTTTGAGCACACTGAGGCAAAACACGTCTTAAACAATTTATATGCTTATTGAAATCCACTTCCCGATAAGCTTTTACAGCCTTCCAGTATGTCCATTTGTGCTTTTTTATACCAGCAGACCTTGATTTTAGATTTCTATACAAATGAACACCACAAAGTCCATGAAAAGCATCTGGGAAACACCTTCTAACAGCGTTGTCAATTGAGTTTGCCCTATCGGATATGATTGTCAGATTGCTAATAGGACCTATGCAATCCCTAAGATGCCCCATAAACCATGTCCATGAATCAGAGGTTTCAGATTTGCCAACCCCGTAAGCTATTGGCAATATCCCATTGTTAGCATCCATGGCTACTGCTAATAAGTTTACTCCAAGGTATCGACCTTTCAAATGTGCTCCGTCAACTATAATAACTGGGCGCATGCAAGTAATAAACGAACGAATCTACAAAATAATATACACAAGAAATATAATCATTTAAATGTGAAATGCATGTAACTAACAAAAATGAGTCAACAAAATTATATTGATTTACTAACCGTAGCACCAATGGCGATAAACAGCAACTCAAAGCGTCCATCTCTATCTGTTTTGATATGAGTTACCGACCCAGGATTTTTCAGCTTTAAATTGTGACAATAAGCCGGCAGTTGGGCAAACGATGCTTCTGGCGACCCCCTCAACAATTCCAAGGCATAACATTTGGCTCTCCAAGCTTGAGAATATGATATACTAATCTTGAACCGAGCATTCATGTCAGTCATAATTTCATGTCCCCGATATACCCTGCCATTCAAAAACATTAACTCAGCCAGAAAACCACCCAACACCTTTTTGTTTGCCTGTCTATGGTGAGGAAAAACTTGGGTTCTTGAACATGTATGTTTATCAATAAAAGTCCTAACTTGAAACATTTTGCAATCTTTTATTCTCTTTGCAATCATACGCCACGTACAGTTTTTGTCAATCATACACCTTGTTTCGAAACGATCTTTGCTTGATTTGTTAACTTTTAGTTGATAGCCATCTTCCACACATTTCGTATATAAAGCTATCTTCAAGTCTTCCTTTGTATCAAAACAATCATCTTTCTTGATACGAATAACTTTTGTGTAACAATCAACTGCTTTCTTTATCAACTCTTCTTCCGGTATCTGAAGTAATTCTGGCATATTCCAGTTATACGCCCGTGGCATTTTCTTTTCTTCGGGGACTTTTCTTCTTCTTTTTCTTCTTCAGGATTATATGAATTACAGAATGGATGTTCAACATGTTCATTCACAGTCGTAACTTCCTCCTCATTATCATCAACATTACATTCTTCGGCAACGGCTGTTTCATCATCAAAATTCGGGTATTGACCAATATCAATATCATTACACGCATGGTCTGTTTCTTCTTCTGAAACATCATCAAAATCCGTGTATTGACCAATATCAAAGTCCGGATATTGACCAAGACCAAATTTCGAATACTGACTAGTACTCACAATTTTTTCTGTTGGCTCATCATCGTCTAACTGGTCAATACGAAAACCGGAATTTGGTGCTGAAAGTTGATTGGGATTTGGATTAGAGAAAGGTTGTGGGTTTTGAGAAAAACTTAGTTGATTACTACCCGCTACTGACCCAACAATACTACTTCTAGGTTCAACAACATACAATGTAACATCATCTTGTGAAACACTAATGTAAGCAATGAATCGTTCAACATCTTCATTGTCGGTTAACAAATAAACTTTACCATTTCTCTGATAAGATAGCCTAAATCCACTTAGGGGCTCTAAATTCAATTTATTTGAAACACGTAGCATTAGAGTTTCATAAGTTAACTTTTGTAAAGACAATTTTAGTTGAAGATTCATGGGTAAAGGCATATATTGTAAAACACCATGAACATTATCCCATGACCCTCCAAAACACAAATCTATCCAAACATGATCAACATTAGATGATTTCATGGTTGTAAATTAATTTACTAAACAGACGAGCTGCGAAACTAAAACCTGTTGCCGGATTGGGAAGGATGTCGTTGGATATAGGAACGGATGTCGCCGGAGAGAGTGATAGATGGAGATGGAATGAGTTGCGATTTAGGGATTTAGTTTATGATTTCAGTGTTATATACCCAAAATTTAAGTGTTGTGATTTACAGATTCTCGTTGCGATTTACGGATTATCGTTGCGATTTACAGATTTTCGTTGCGATTTACGGATTATCGTTGCGATTTACGGATACGCGTTGCGATTTACGGATTATCGTTGCGATTTACGGATACGCGTTGCGATTTACGGATACGCATTGCGATTTACGGATACGCGTTGCGATTTACGGATACGCGTTGCGATATACGGATACGCATTGCGATTTACCCATACGCGTTGCGATTTACGGATACACGTTGCGATTTACGGATACGCGTTGCGATTTATGTGTTCGCGTTGCGATTTTCATATTCGCGTTGCGATTATGGAAAATCGCAATGCGAATTTGTACTATCGCATCGCGATTTTCAAGAATCGCGTTGCGATTTTGGAAACTGATTTGCGATTCTGGGGATCGCGTTGCGATTTTTATTTCGCGTTGCGATTTTGTTGGTCATTTTGGCAAATCCAAAAAAAGTTGGTTAAAATCGTATATTATAACTTTTTTTTGGTCACTGAGGCGATTCTCTCTAAATATAACATATTGCTTCACAAACAGTTCTAAATGCATTAATATATTGTTGCAAAAGGAGATCTAACTATATGAGATTGTCGAACTTTTCTAATCAGAAGGTGTTCCATGATGAACACAACACAAAATGCGAAACTGTCGTAACGATAAAGAAAATTGTGCCATAAAAATAGACAAAAACAGACGTTTCAAGAATATATAACAAGAAATACATTAAAACGAGGAGGATGTTTATTTAGATTTAAATTTAAAAAAAATAAGAAAATAAGAAATAGAGAGACAACGACGTTAGGTTGTCGCCTAAGACGGCACTTTGAAATAAAAACTAAAGAATTACTTTAGAGAAATGATTAGGACTAAGAAATATGATTTAGGAGATACTACAAAGTTTAATATCCTCACTCTCTCGGCTCAATTTACTTTATAAATTCATATTATGGTGCCTAAATCTTACGTATCTAACCGCTCAAACCTAGAATCTCTAATATTCTATTTTACCATTGAAATCAATGGACGGGTTCTACGCTTGTTCTGTTTTTATAGCTCTGAAGCAAGGGGACCTTTTGGGAAGATGGTGGATCCACCGTGGTGCTATTGCTGCTGCCACTGCCACTGTCCTCAAGAGTTGCCTCTTTCGCTTTCCCCCACATCACTGTGTAAAAACCGATCGATATTGTTGTTGCTCCAATGAGACTGTCAAAGCATAAAAGATAACAATTGATTCTCTGTTGCTGCTATTCTTCACCATCGCTACTCGTCATAATTGATTACGCTATCAAATTGATAAATGCATGTAATCGAAAACGACAAAAGTAGTGTGTTGTTTATACCTCCCAAGATGGGGCGTCTCACCGAGGAAGATGATACCCAAGGCAGAAGCTGCTACGGTAGAAAATGGCTTAAACATTGCCACGTAAACCGGTCCTTTCAACCGCAGAGCCCATGAATGGACCGTATTGTTCATGCAAGAACTGAAGATTCCCTGAAACAGAGAATGCAGTCACTGTTTCTACTTTCTCATAATGAAAAATCGTCGGTAAATACTCATCCTTACCCAGCAAACAACCGAGGCTAGTGCAATATCTGACCATGTTCTCCAAGCACTCGCATTTCTTTCAACAACTAAAGCAACAACCAAAGCCATGAAGCACACACAAAAATTGTAAAAGAAGATTACAGTCAGTTCTGCTGGATACTCCTCCATGATTTGTGTCTGCATATGCATCAGTGAACCATTTTTTTCAAGTGGAATGTGTTCGGGAAAATGTCTGTAAAATTCGTAACCGGTAAGCCAACTCTTACCAGGACAACGAACCATAATGGAATCAGGGTAAACTGAGCAGTGAAAAAAGCACCACCGATAACCCAATTCGAGTCTACACCAAACGAGTTCAAAGGTTGATGAAAAGACATTGAAGGTTTTGAAGCTTTGAAAATGGGTGGGCCCTTATAAAGAGTCACTACCAATGCACCTGTAATTGATATTATGGTGCCCATCACTTTAGCCTTACTGCTGCTTCTACTCCAAACCAGTTCCTCCATTCTTTTAAGTTCGCAGCAACGGAAAATGTTGAAGGAAAATCAGGACTATGACATGGTTTAGTTACGTTTTAGGGATAAAAAACTGACCTGAAAAAGATAGCAAGGATGAAGGTAAAAGCCGGCATGAGGTTGGCCATGACAGATGAAAGAGTGGGTGAACTGTAAATGAGGCCTGTGTACCCCGTGATCTGACATGAAATCCTGAATCCAGTTTCACAAATATTAGAGATAACAACTCATCAAATTGAAATCAAAAGCAATATTTTTCTATGAAATGAACTACTTTACTATGTTTTACCCTATGAGCGCGAGAAGTCCAATTTTGCGTAGTACTGGGAATCCGAGCGGAGGAAGCACACTTGATCTGCAAGAAATTCAGAAATGATCAGAACACTTTCCGGCTCCGATATTGTAACGAACGGGTGAAGTGAGAAGTGGAAGAGGACCTGTAAGAGAAGAAGGGAGCAGGAAGAAGAAGAAGAGCAGCAAAGGCATAATCGTAGACCATAAACACATGGTAGCTCATACCGGTCAAAGTAGCTGCTTTGAACAACGTGTTTAGCCCCGCAATGATGAACTCCATAGCCACCAATACTGTGAAGGGCGCAACATCCTTGTAATAATTCCTCCATGATCTCCACGCCATCTTTCCTCCCCATCAATTTCTCTCAAACCAAGCAAACAAATCATACGTTTTGTATATTTTGGATTTCAGATCTCAAGAAAGCTACTTTATGAACTTATAATAATTTAATATGATTGGAGTATAATATATAAATATAGTGGGCTGTAATGTCAGTAGAAAATTGGGTTTATGGTGTGAAAGGCATCGTTTCCTCCATAGAAAAGTTTTTCTTTTTTTGTCATGGGTGCCATGGCTGCTGGTATTTTATTATAAATATTTAGTTTAAAAGTATGTTTTTTGCTTATTAAATTTACAAGTTGAGTTCAGCTGATCAGCTCAGCTAATCTTCTAATCCTATAATTCCAATGTCTTCTCTTTATCTTCATATCAAGATCTCGAAGATCTATAAAAATCTTTAAATACATAAAAAGAACCTTAAAAAATTAAATACAAGATCAACCAAGTGCGTATACCCTAATAACATATCATTCCTATTCTTTTCATATTCCAAGAATGGTCAACTAAATTGAGCTGTCTAGCCTTAACTTATTGTCCAATTATGCTTTGCAGCAAAGGAACCCGACCACTAGACGAGGGTCCCAAGGGGCTTAAGCCACAGGGCTCTTCATCCCTCACTTCTTCAGCTTCTTTTGCTTTTCCCCATAATACAGCATAAAGACCACCTGTTATGATCACTGCTCCGATCAAGCTGTAAATATTTAACCAACATCGGATAATATCACTTTTACAATACAACTCCAAGTTAGTCTTTCGCATTAGAAGATCCGGGTTCAAACAATTGTGTCTACAGAATGTGTTTGCATGGTCAATAAACTAAAAATATTCTGAACATGTAGTACCTTCCAAGATAAATTGCTTCGCCAAGGAATATAGCACTCATAACGGCAGCTATAACGATTGAAGTTGGTGTGAAACTTGCAACAAACACAGGCCCCTTCAAGCGTATACACCATGTGTGAACAAATGAGCTAAATGAGAACGCAAAAAGGCCCTAAAGAAGCAGCCATAAACAAAGTTACATCCCAATACTACAAATAAGGTAGTCCAATACCATAACTAATTGCCAGAATTTTACCGTATATAAAACTGCAGCAACTGATACACCAGACGTTAATCTCCAAGAACTCAATTGTGGTTCCGCTATTAAGCTATTGGCAAAGATATAAGGGCCGAACACAAGTTGTAGAAGAAACTTACAACAATCTCTTCTGGATATATCTTCATTACTTGGGCCTAAAGTTATAAAAGATTCAAGTTCAGTTTTAGGTATTCAAACTTTATTTTCTATCAACCTTAGTCCCTGACAATTTAAATCTTATGCAAAATAAGGCTTTGACCCCTCACCCCAACTCCCCAACTATATCCTATTTACCTGAATAATATACCAGAATGAAACAAGAAGATATGAAACAGCTTCAAGGATGCCACCAATAATCCAATTAGATTGAGAAGATTCCAAAGACCTTTGAAGTTGTAAAACAGATGGTGATGATGAAATGATTTTTGGGCCTTTGTAGAAAGTCATGACCAACGCACCAGATATTGATGTTACGGTTCCAATGATTTTAGCCTGACTTGCTGCTCTTCTAAATTCTACCTTTTCCATCCTTTTTTATATGCCAATGTTCAAACAAAAGGAGAAAATAAATGGACTGAGGAAAATAGCTCAAGCATGAACATAAATAAATAACAAGTAAAGAAGGAAGAAGAAACCTGAAGAAGACAGAAAGTATGAAGGTAAAAGCTGGTACGAGGTTGGCAAGTGCAGATGAAAGAGTTGGAGAGCTAAGTTGTACACCTTTATATGAATATGTCTTTGCTAAACACCTATCCCAAAAACATCTCAAAAAATCTTGGGCATAAATTTAAAGCTTTATGTGCTATATAAATATATGTATGTATGCGTGTATATACTTGTATACCCGATAAGGCCTAGAAGGCAGAGTTTAGAGATGAGAGGGAACTTCAAAGGAGGGAACACTGTATTTCTGCAAACATATCAGATTCAACTTTGATATCAAAGTTATGCGAAATTTATATAAATTTATTAGAAGAATTACGAAAAAGGAGACCTAAAGAAGAGTAAAGGGATGAAAACCAAGGTGGCTAGAAGAAAACAGTAGGTGACGAAGTTGTAATAGCTCAGCCCCTTCAAAGAAGCAGCTTTGAATATAATGGCTATGACCACGTTTGTACACTCCACAGCAAGCATGACTAAGCTTGGTAATATTTCCATGGCCGACTCTCCTGCAATCTCTCTCTTCTCCTTCCTTACCCTAAACTCAAGAAACGAAGATTTCTTCTTTATTTATTTGTAGAGTCAAACCTTTAAAAGTATAATCTTTGTTTTACTTTTTGGATTTTAACAATGGCTACTTGATTTAAAACTGTAGCAACTTGATTATTACTATATGGCACAACTGCCATGGCTCAATCTCCAACCAGGTCTATCTCAACTTGAGTTGAGTGAACCTACAACCATGACTTGACCGTGTCATGAAAATATAAGTTATAATTGTTTTAACCTTTTCGTTTGAGTGTAATGTGATGTCCTACATTACACTACATATAAGTGCACTTTTCGTATAATAAATATCGGTTGATCTAATACATTCGTGTATGTGTGTGTATATTGTGAAATGTATGATTGAATCTTTAAAGATGTATTTGAGGCTCACAAAAACCTTAAAAAGATCTATAAAGTCTAAATATAACTCACATCTCATAATTAAAGGGTAAAGTACACATATGGTCCCCCAACTATAGGATGTTATTTTTTTTAGTCCTCCGACTATTAAAAGTTACAAAATGATTAAAAGTTACAAAATGATCTCCCGAATATAGGATATTGCTTTGTTGAGATCATTATGTTCCAAAATTGAGATACGATATTAGTTTGAGATTCTAAGATCAGATTTTATCATATCACAGTCAACAAGTTAACGGTCAATTCATCTGTGGTTGTTTCTGTGTGATTTTATGATATGTACAAGTGCTGGATGTGAGTCTTGAAGTTAAGGAGCAGAGTCTAATTCCCATCGGTTGTAAAGGAATGCAGCGTGGAGTTGCCGTTCTGGATATGTGTTACTATGATTTATGTAACTGAGCTAGGCTGTCTTCTAATTAGGAGTTATGTTGTTTATATTGGGTTGTTTAGGCGGGTCTTAATAATGAGCATAGCAGAGCTGGTGTTGTTGGTTGATCCCTACAGTAGTTGGTGATGATCGAATGGTCGGATTGATCCACATGGATGTTTTTGCGAGAGAGACTTTGGCTTCAGGTTGTGATGGTTGATTGAAAGATTCTAAAGCATTTGTCCGTTATATGGTCAAGATTCTGGATGCGCTGTGATGTTTGCTTTTGCTGGTCAGCAGTCGATGGTTGCTATCATCTGCTCTTTCAGCGGGGAAGATGAGTCGTTTTCATGTTGGTCCGAGTGCTTGCGTTTTACTATTCGATTCTTCATGTTATTTGTCATTGTTAAAGCTATTGATATTGTGTGGGCACTCTTTTTCCTCCTAATAGTCAGGGAAGTTTTTTTTTTAATGAGGCTGATACATATATCCTATTTTGTATGTGTTATCATTTAAATTCCATACAAAAAATACCCATTTCAAAAAAAAATTAACAGAAAAAAGATGAGTTTAGAACATAATGAATAGTTGAGTGATCATTTTGTAATTTTTAATAGTTGATGGACTCAACAAAGCAACACCCTCTAGTCGGGAAACTATTTTATAACTTTTAATAGTTAAATGACTCAACAAAACAATATCATATAGTCAAGAAATTTTTGTGTACTTTACCCTGAAATTAAATCATATCAAATGATAAAATATAAATTACTATACATTTGAATTTCAATTATGAAGTAAACTTCTCTCAAACTCTTGACAAACTGATGAAACCTTTTTGCATCTTAATATTGGTAGGCTTTTGTGTTTGTAACTTGTAAGTGTTGACCATTACCCACCCATTTCCTCAAGTTTTATAACTCTGCAGCAATGGAACCCCACTATCAGAGGAGGGTCTTAACCTATTTAAGCCACCGAACTCATCTTCATCTCTCAATACACAATAAAGACCAACGGTTGTTATCATTGCTCCGATCATGCTGCAAAATTTCATCGTGGAAGTATCGAGGTCCTCAATAGACATTCATGGCTTCTACACAAATTCACCATAAATAGAACATTGAGAATGAAAAATTGAGTTAATAACATGCATGAATACTGATTATTCACCTGACACACCTTCCTTACAATATGGTCCTTTTATTTCTAGGGAAGGATTTACTTAATATGTTTTAATCATTTTTTTTTCATATCATAAATACGTTATATAACCATATCGAGTTCAAAATTATGAAATTAAAACCTTACCAGAGACATGAGAGAGTTGATCAATTACCTTCCAAGACAAATTGCTTCGCCAAGGAATATGAAACTCATAACAGCAGCTATAACAATTGAAGTTGGTGCGAAACTTGCAAAAGAAACACAGGCCCCTTCAAGCATATACACCATGCGTGAACAGCTGAGCAAATTGAGAAGGCAAAAAGGCCCTAAAGAAGCAGCCATAAACAAATAAGTGACGTTCAAATACTGCAAATTAGGTAGTCGATCCAAGTGGTAAATGAATTGTTATTATTCTTTGAAGACCCAGGTTCGAGAACCGTGAAAACTAGGAGTGTGAACACTCAATATCAAAAGGTAATAAAAAGCTGCAGCAGCTGATACAGTAGACGTTAATCTCCAACAACTCAATTGTGGTTCTGCTATTATGCTTATTGGAAAAGATATAAGGGCGGCGAACAAGTAAAAGAAAGTTACAACAGTCTCTTCTGGATACATCTTCATTACTTGGGCCTGTTAAGTTATAAAAGATTCAAGTTCAGTTTTAGGTATTCAAACTTTATTTTCTCTCAAATTTAGTCCCTTACTATTTAAATATTATGCAAGTTAAGGCTTTGACCCCACAACTAATTTTCTCTCAACTTTAGTCCCCGACAATTTACCTGAATGATATACCAGAATGAGACAAGAAGATATCCGACAGCTTCAAGCATGCCGCCAATAATAAGACAGCAAGTATGAAGGTATAAGCTGGTAAGAGATTGCCAAGAGCAGATGAAAGAGTTGGAGAGCTAAGTTGTACACCTTTATATGAACATATCCTTGCTAAACACCTATCTCAAAGACATCAACAAATCTTGGGTATAAATTTAAAGATCTACGTGCTTATAAGTATATATATATATATACTTTTATATACCCTGTAAGGCCAAGAAGGCAGGGTCTAGAGATGATAGGGAACTTCAAAGGAGGGAACACTGTATTTCTGCAAACATATCAGATTAAACTTTGATATCAAAGTTCTGAGAAATCTATATAAATTTATTGGAAGAATTAAGAAAAAAGAGACCTAAAGAAGAGTAAAGGGATGAAAACCAAGGTGGCTAGAACAAAACAGTAGGTGACGAAGTTGTAATAGCTCAGCCCCTTCAAAGAAGCAGCTTTGAATAGAATGTTTATGACGACGTTCAAACACTCCACTGCAACCACGGCTAAGACTGGAACCCTATGAACCATTTCAAACATGATAGGTTATGTATCAACTCCAAACAGCTCGAAATATCTGTCTTGTTCGATAAAATGAAAATTCACCGAATAAGTCAAAATTAATTTGATGAAATGATCAGGGATCAAGGATGGACCGAGGGGTGCAGCGGGGGCAGTTGCCCCTCTTGAAAATCTGAATGTAGTCATCCCTCTTGAAAATTGAAAATCTGAATGCAGTTGTCCCTAGAATTTTAAAAAGTTCATCTCATAACATAAAATTCTATGGCTGTCCCTGTGTCAAGGATGCTATTGTGGAGATGACTCCCCGACGAGGCAAAGGAGTCCTATGCGGACAAGCTCATTAGGTACTCGGAGACTAATATGCGTTGATAATGTAAAGGATTTCAAATTGAATAAGAATCATTCGATTTAGATATGTGTTTCTATTGGAAACAATCCTACTAGTAAAATATTTTATTAGAATTCATATTTTACTGTTACTAACCATAACAAAATATTAAAACACGTCAATTAAACTCTTGTTTCGACTAATTGCTACGGTTATCGGAAGAGTGATAAAAGTAACTTATGATAGTGGGAGAGGGGCGGGTTTGCACGACTTGCAGTGGTGAATAAACCATTGATCTTATGTACTAGAATTGATGGTTTTGTTCACAAGTTGCAAGGCACTACAACAAATATGCTATAAATTTATTTCAATACACAATACAAAAGTAGAGTTACGTAATGTTCCGCTTCGTCTCTGTTTTGTTTAATGTGCTTTGTTCTGATCTTGTTTATGCATATGATGATGTGCCCTGTTTCGGTGTTGGTGGCTCACAGGGTGTAGGACTGCACAAATCTCATAAAATTATTGTGTCAATGAGTAGTGGGAAACAGAAAAGGCATTGGCATTGTATTACCTACACTACACTACACATTTGTTCAACATTTATAGCTTTGCAGCAAAGGGACCCTGCCACCGGACGAGGGCTCTTCATCTCTCATTTCTTCTGCTTCTTTTGCTTTTCCCCATAATACAGCATAAAGGCCACCGGTTATGATCACTGCCCCTATCACGCTGCAAAATTAACTTTGATTCAGCCTTGTTTTTGTTCTCTTATTCCTTTTATATGAAACAATAGATTGCTTTTACCTTCCAAGATGAAGTGCTTCGCCAAGGAATATGGCACTCATAACAGCAGCTATGACTATTGAGGTTGGCTTGAAAATTGCAACAAACACAGGCCCCTTCAACCGTACGCCCCATGTGTGAACACATGAGCTAAATGAGAACCCAAAAAGCCCCTAAACAAGTAGGCCATAAACAAATAAGTGACATTCCAATACTCCGAATAATGTATTCGATTACCAGCGTTGATTATCGGTAAGTATTACCGAATATAGGACTGCAACAACTGATATATTATGTGTTAATCTCCAAGAACTCAACTGTGGTTCTGTTATCAAGCAAACTGGTACAGCTAAAAGGGCCACAGACAAGTTGTAAAATAAATTTACAACAATCTCTTCGGGATATATCTTCATCACTTGCGCCTGAAACGTTGTTTTAGGGTTAAAATCCAACACAACATAACTTCATGTAAGATATTAAACAATTCAAGGTTGAGCTTGGAAGCATGTATAGTTTTTACCTGGATAACATACCAGAACGAATAAAGAAGATGTGCAATAACTTCAAGGATGCCACCAACAATCCAATTTGATTGAGAAGACTGCAAAGGTCTTTGGGGTTGCACAACAGATGATGATGATGTCCAAGGTGAAGATGTAAGAATTTTGGGGCCTCTGTAAAAGGTGATGACTAATGCACCAGCTATTGATGTTATGGTGCCAATTATTTTAGCTTGAGTTGTTTCTCTTCTAAAATCTACCTTTTCCATCCTTGTTATACATTCCAATATTCAAAGACAAGGAGAAAACAAAGGGGTTTAGGAAACTAGCTCAAGCATGATCATAAACATGAAATAAACAAAAAAGGAACCTGAAGGAGGCAGCAAGTATGAAGGTAAAAGCTGGAGTGAGGTTGCTAATGGCTGATGCAAGTGTTGGAGAGCCCACTTCTATACCTTTATACGCGCAAATCATACCTAAATACCTGTCTCCAAAGCTCAACCAATCATGGGTTTTACACATATCTACAGGTATCTTTGTGTATGTGTATAGTCTGCCATACCCTGAAATCCCAAGAAGGCAAAGTCTAGAGATGAGAGGGAACTTCATAGGACGAAACACTGTATTTCTGCAAACATATCAATCGTTAAACGAAGAATATAGAGTGTACAAACCAGACATTGAAGAATGAAGTGCTCAAAAATCGAAAGAGACCTAAAGAAGACTAGAAGTGTGAAGACCAAGGTGCCTAAAACATAACAGTAAGCAATGAAGTTGTAATAGCTCATCCCCTTCAAAGAAGCAGCTTTGAATAGAATGCTTACGACGACGTGTGAACACTCCACTGCAACCATGGCTAAGCTTGGTAATATTTCCATGGCTCACTCTCATGTAATCTCACACTTCTTCCCCCGCCTTGGGAGAAATACAAAGACTTCTCAAATAATTTCCAATCCCTTTTTCTTACTTTGTTAATTAATTAATCCATGATTTTATTAGTATATTTAATTACACTAACAAATCTATACAAATGATTCGTTTTACTTTAGTGGAGTAGGTGAAGATCGATTATAGAATATGCTATTGTATTGGTATCAACGAGGTTTTATTGATTAAATACTTTTTCAGCAATTATTCTAAAGGCTTATATAACAAATAAGTACATAAAGTATCTCTCTTTTTCATTTAAGTACCTAAAATATTTTTTTGGTCAAAATACGTACATAAAGTATTTTTTATCAAAATATGTACCTAAAGTATTTAATTTTTTCATCTAAATACCTAAAGTATTCTTTAATTAATGTCGCATGTCAATTTTTTTAGAACTTGGATGAAAAATTGAATAGTTTAGGTACCTATTTTGACATAAAATATTTTTACGTACTTATTTTGACAAAAAAAAGTCACTTTAGGTACTTATTTTAACCAAAAAATTCTTTAGGTACTTAAATGAAAAGGGAATTATACTTTAGGTACTTATTTGTGATATAAGCCTATTCTAAAACAATTATTTTTTCCTATCAACTCATGTTTAAACTTTAGGGTAAACTATAAAATTGATCATTTTCGTTTAAATTTTGTACACTCTTTCTTATTGAATTCAAAAAATATAATATAAGGTCACTTTCATTTTTCTTTAATTTAGATTTAGGCACTTTTGTTTTTATTTAATTAAGATGTAGTCACTAAAGATTAACTTTTGTTAGATTTTTAACGGAATGGTGACATAGCACAGTGAATTTATAAAATTAAAAAGGGTAAAATACACAGATGGTCACTAATGTTTGAGTAAGTTTTTGTTTTCCTCATTAAAGTTTCGAAAATAAAAAATAGGTCAAAACAAGTACCTAAAGTAAAGTTATCTTTTTTAGTGACCAATTTGTTGCTTTTAGAACTTTATTTTTTATTTAATTAATATTTGGGCACTTTATTTTTATTTAATTAAGATGTGGTCACTAAATATTCACTGTCGTTAGACCTATTTGATGTTTTAGTGACCAATTTGTTACTTTTATAACTTTAGTGGGAGAACGAAAATACACTCAAACATTAGTGACTATTTGTGTACTTTTTTCTTTTAATTTTATAAATTTAGTATGTCATATTAGCAATCTGTTAAAGGTCTAACGACAATTAAACTTTAGTAATCACATCTTAAATTAAATAAAAATGAAAGTGACCAATTTTTGAATTCAGTGAGAAAAAGTGTACAAAACTTAAACAAAAGTGATCAATCATGTAGTTTACCCTAAATTTTATTTTTTTCATAAATAAACTTATTTTTATCGGTTTTATTTTTATATGAAACCATCTTACTTTTCTTGTAGTTTTCTTAACATAAATTTACTTTTACCCTAATAAATTCTAATCAATTTTCTTCTCTTTGTTTAAACCGACAACTAATTTTTAAAATTTTGAAATGAGTAATTTCAATCTAGGTTTGTTTTCTTAATCTTTTTATTATTCGTAATTTGATTAAATTATTAACTAGAATATGTTATTTTCGTACTTCGAGATAATTGTGAGTACCTATTATTATGAGAAAACTAGTTTGAGATCTAAATAAGAAATAGGTCAATAAAATAACTAAATAAACGTTAACAAAAGATGTAACTATCTCCGTCATTAAAAAAAATGATACAAGAATAAAAAAAATACATTATTTTCTATAGAAAAAAGTTCATTTAAACAAAATAATAAAAATTGCTGTCCCTTTTTCCCATATGTATGGGGTAAGGGGGAGGTAAGATAGTAGGCTACCCCAACGCCAGGTTGAGAGCAGCTTCCGTAAGAGACCTCCGAATTATGAAATGCCCTACGTGGGACTTGATCCCACGACCTCAAGGTTAAGAACCTTGTGCTCTACCAACTGAGCTGGATGATCATTTCAAAAACAAAATAATACAAAAAGTCAAATATATAAAAATAAAAGATTAAACAGAAAAAAATAAAGAGAAAAAAAAAGAAAATTAGGAAAAATGACGAAGCATGAATTAGAATCACTTGACAAGTTAATCAAGGAACACATGTTCTTGTGTCTAAAATTCCTTTTTGAACTTATTTTTCCTTAATAATTTAACATCTAGTTAGATTCTTGATAAGTTAATTAGCCGATATGGCCCAAGCTAGCATCATCAAAGATCAACCTAGGCGGGGACGGGTAGAGGTGATATTCCCTTAAAAATCTAGGATTATCATATATTTTAGATTTTTTTATTGAAAATTTATTTTTGCCCCCTGAAATTTTATAAATTCAAGTTTGTTCCCTAACTTAAATTCATGTGTTCATCCCTGAATATCATTGATAATATTCTTGCTCAATTTAATTATTTTTCCGGCTACAAGGTTAATAGAAGAAAAATCCCAGTCTGCTATTCTCCACATACCAATATTGAAACCACAAGCCCCATTTATGAACTTATAATAATATATTATGGTTGGAGTATAATATATAAATATAGTGGGCCGTAATGTCGGTAGAAAAATGTGTTTATGGTGTGAAAGGCATCGTTTCCTCCATGAAAAAGTCCTTCAATTTTTGTCATGCGACATGGTTGCTGGTGTTTTATTATAAATATTAAGGTTAAAAGTATGTTTTTAGCTTATTATATTTGCAAGTTGAATTCAGCTGATCGGCTCAGCTACTCGTCTAATCCTATAATTCCAATGTCTTCTCTTTATCATCAAATCAAGATCTCGTGGACTATAAAAACATTTTAAACACATAAAAGAAAAACCTTGAAAATTAAACACAAGATCAACCATGTTCATTCCTATTCTCTTCATATTCCAAGAATGTTCAGCTAATTTGAGCTGTTTAGCCTTAACTTATTGTCCAATAATGCTTTGCAGCAAAGGAACCTGATCGCTAGTCGAGGGTCCCAAGGGGCTTAAGCCACAGGACTCTCCATCTCGAATTAATACATTTATAGGATGTGTGTATTATCGATAGACTAAAATAATTCTATACATATACTACTTTCCGAGATAAATTGCTTTGCCTTTGCCAAGGAATCTGACACTCATAACAATTGAAGTTTTAGATAAATTGTTAAATCCAAGAATGAAACAGATAAAATAATAATGAATTATTAGAAAGAAAAAATGATAAATAATGAATTTATTGTGTTTTAGGATTGTTAGAAGTATAACAATTCGTGGCCCTGATCACACTTGAGACAATAAAATAAAATAAATTAATCTTCTGGGAAATTAAATAAAATATGTAGGAAGAAGAAATACTCTTCTATTGATCTATCGATCGAAAACAGTTGAGGCATGTCGTTACGTAGTTTCTTTAAGACGGATTTTCGGTCACTCATTTGGTGCTCGAGTTCATTGGTCGTTTGTCTCTCATGATACAACAACTAGATGATTAACTACAATATAACATCTGCAAAGATCATGAACTACACTATTGCTTTCGTCTATTACCATAAAATTAATGGAGAAAAATGTTATACTTTTGAACTTGTGAGATGTAAACTTGTTTGAACAAGTGTTTAACATAGTAGGTTAGTACAATATTTATAGTGAATTCTAAAAGGAAAAACAATCCTTCCAGAACTACAATATTATATTCCAATTGATTATAAATTTGTAATAATATTTTCTTATTTTAATTGAATATAAATTTAAAAATAATATATTTTTATTTAATAAAATATAAATTTATAAATAATGTATTCCTATTTCAATCGAATATAAATAGGTTAAATACTCCATTCATACATAAATTATGCCAAATTCTTAGTTTTATACATATTATTTAAAAATTGTCGATTTCATACATGATGTTTTATGCCGTTAACGGATTCAATCACTTCTGTAACGGAAAGTGATGTTGAACCCTACGACCACTAATAAAATGACATGTGGCACTTTAAAAAACATGCTTTTTTTTTGTTTTTAGGTAAATTATACATTTCATCACTCAACTATCTTCTTACTCTTATTTTAGTCACTAAAGTTTAATTTTTTTTAATTTAATTTTTAAACTATAGAATTACTCTTATTTTAATAACGCAAATTTATTAAAATAACAAAAATAACAGTGATAAAAACAACCAAAGCACGATGATAACAATCGAAAAAGTGGTTCAAAGCTTACCCAACATCGATAACGACGGTGACACGATCCACTAGTTGAGTCCTCATCAAATTTGTCCGGAGAACTCAATGGGAGGGGCGGTGAGATGTAACGTCGGTCGGTTTAACCAAAAATCGTGAAAAAATAGTGATTGGGAGAAGTTTTTTGACGAACTTTCTAATCCTTCTCTACAGTAAATGAAGGCAAGGCTCGACAAGTGGGTCGATTGGTTTTGACCAGATGAGGGAGGCGCTTCCACAGGTGAGGGCGGTGACGCTCATCGTTCAACGGTGGCCAAGATCGACGATGGTGAGACTCGTACAATTCTTCATAATTTCCAAATGAACGACAATCGGATGGGGGTAACTGATAGTTGGATTAAGGTCGTGGGATGATGGCAAAGCTCACAGGGTAGTGGTGAACGCCACGATCGGCCAGAAGAAGGTCGAACGACGACGAGGGGCAGGGGAAACAGTTGAAGAGAAAATTAGGTATTTGTTTTTAAATTTTAGTGACTAAAATAAAAGTAAGAAGATAGTTGAGTGATGAATGTTGTAATTTACCTAAAAATTAAAAAACATTTTTTAAGTTCCACGTGTCATTTTTTTAGTGGTCGTACGGTTCCATGTCACTTTTCGTGACGAAAGTGGGTGAATTCGTTAACGGCAGAAAACATCATGTATGAAATAAAAAAAAATTAAATAATATGTATGAAACTGAGAATTTGGTATAGTTCATGTATGAATGGGGTATTTAACCCAGTATAAATTCGTAATAATATATACATATTTTAATTAAATATAAATCTTTAAATAATAAAACATTATCCTATTAATATTTGAATTCTAAAGAATCCACACAATATCTTTTTAATTCGGAATATTCAAATAGATATGTTATATTTAAGAAAAATTTAGTTATCAAATTCATCAATAAATTCAACACATTTTTCCAACAATCTCCCATATGAATGAAATTGATGATTTTATCAAAAACATTTTGACACGATGTGGTGATAGACTATAAGATAGATAATTGAATAAGATAGGTAGGTGTCCTCTTTTGAATCTTCTCTCGTGACGGTATATTTATTTTATTGGCTAAACAATAGACATGATTTTCTTGAATTGTTCTATCGGTTGTGTAAATGATGATATACTTCACACTACTAATTCTCTGGCAAGAATTTTAATTCTCATGGGTATGTCCTTAAAGCCATAGACATCGCCTAGTTCTGTAAGAGTTTGAAAGAACTATGTCCAATAGTCTCCTTGAAGCGATCCCACTTCACTCTCACATAGGTGACTTGTGTTGCTCGGTTCATCGAAACATGCAATGGTTATTAAAAGCTTTGCTTAGCTTGTACCATTTTTATCACTGTTTACATTATAGGAACGGGCTTGGGATGAAAGACACTCACAATGATCGTACAAGATTTATACAATTAGGTTGTTCCTTTAAACCTAGATCTTGGGATCTCCAGTCAACTAGGTAGGGGTTTTCTTCATATAAAGCTTTTAAATTTTATGGACTTTAGTCACATTCCTTCATACTTTTCTCTACGTGATCTTGATTTAATCATTTGTTTAGTAGATCTACGATGTTATCATTTAATCTTAAAAAATCAATAAAGATAACTCTATTCGAGATTAGTTGTCTAACGGTATTATGTCGATAACAGTCTCAATTTACCATTATATATGAAATTTTGTGCTAGTCACAATATATGCAGACTATGAACACATATTTCAGTCATTTAAGAATACCCTCCAATAAATTCTAAACTCATTCAGTTTATTTTCTAGACTTTTCTAGAGCTACAGACTCAGATTTTATTGTGGATTTAATTTTATCCGTTTACGTAAGGATTTTTATGACACGACTCTCTCGCAGTTTGAAACATATCTCTTTTGACAACATTTACAGAAGTTAATTTTAACTTTTCATAAGATTCTTTTTGACAATATTACTCGACGCCTGAAATCTTAAAGTACACTTTTTTTTTCACATTTCCAAAATCAGATTCTCCAAACAAAGTTTAATCATTTTCCTTCCCAATTCGTGTTCATGTCGATGAGTGATGATGCACATTTCTTCAGTTTTTATAACTTTGCAGCAAAGGAACCCGGCCACTAGACGAGGATCCTAACCCGTTTAAGCCACGGTGCTCTTCATCTCTCATTTCTTCTGCTTCTTTTGCTTTTCCCCATAACACGGCATAAAGACCGCCAGTTATTATCAGCGCTCCGATCACGCTGTAAAAGTTAACCAACATCAGAAAACATCACTTTAACAATATCATTCCCTGAAAATGTTTCATGTTTTGTATCAAATTTATTTCATATAATCAATTTGTGTCTAAAGCTGTGGGATTAAGACACCACGAAAACAATGGAGAGCTTGTTTAATGTTTACCTTCCAAGATAAAGTGCTTCGCCAAGGAATATGGCACCCATCATAGCAGCTATAACGATCGAGGCTGGCTTAAATGTTGCAACAAACAAAGGCCCCTTCAACCGTACACCCCACGTGTGAACGACTGAGCTAAACGAGTGCGCAAAAAGCCCCTAAACAAGCAGTCCGAAAACAAATAAGTGACATCCCAATGTTGCAAATAAGGTATTCGAATACCGGCATTGATTACCGAAGTTTTACCGTATATAGGACTGAAACAACTGATACACTAGACGTTAATCTCCATGAACTCAACTGTGGTTCTGCTATTATGCATACTGGTAAAGCTAAAAGGGCTATTGACAAGTTGTACAAGAAAGTTACAACAATTTCATCCGCATATATCTTCATGACCTGTGCCTGCAAAATTCAGGTACAGTTGTATTAATGAAAAGAATTCATAGTGGATCTTGGAAACATATATATATATATATATATATATATATATATATATATATATATATATATATATATATATATATATATATATGTATACTTGTATACCTGAATGATACACCAGAATGAAAAAAGAAGATTCGAAACAACTCCAAGGATGCCACCAAAAAACCAATTTGATTCGGTAGACCCCAAAGGACTTTGAAGTTGAGGAACAGATGATGATGATGATGTCCAAGGTAATGATGAAATAACTTTGGGTCCTTTAAAGAAAATAATGACAAATGCACCAGATATTGATGTTATGGTGCCAATGATTTTAGCTTGAGTTGCTGCTCTTCTGATTTCCACTCTTTCCATCCTTGTCGTATGCCAATGTTCAAAGACAAGGAGCATTTCAAAGTAACATTTTAGAGAATGGAATTTTATACATGATCGATGAGAATAGTTGATCAATTTCTTCTGTATGAATAAACAATGGAAAAAAGGAATAAGAAACCTGAAGGAGACAGCAAGTACGAAGGTAAAAGCTGGTGTGAGGTTGCTAATGGCTGATGCAAGTGTTGGAGAGCCAAGTTGAACAGCTTTAGATCCGCATATATTTCCTACAACCCTGTCTCAGTAACATCAACAAATCGATGGTTTTACATGAATTTACATCTACACCTTTGTATACACACTTCCATACCCAATAATCCCTAGAAGGCAAAGTCTTGAGAAGAGAGGGAACTTCAAAGGAGGAAAAGCTGTTTTTCTGCAGATACATCAGATCAAACAAAGAAGATAAACTGTTAAGACCAAACTTCTGAGAAAACGATTTAAATGTATTGAATTACCTGAAGAAGAAGAGAGGGATGAAAATGAAAGTGCCCAGAACAGAATAGTAGACAGTGTAGATGTTATAGCTCAGCCCCTTGGAAGAAGCAGCTTTGAATAGAATGCTTGAGAGGACGTTTGTACACTCCACTACAAGCATGGCTAAGCTTGGCACAACTTCCATGGCTCACTCTTGTGCAACCCACCTTGAGGGAAGACGAAGACTTCTTCCCCCCTGTATCTACAGAATCAAACCTATAAAACCTATCTGTATGTTTGTCTTCTGCTTTTGTTTTATTAAGTATATTATGGTTAGTGGTGATAATCATGGTTAGGTGCCATTTCATTTAATTATCTTATTTTTGTTAACTATTGTGAATGAGAATCTATGTCCAATCAGAAGTTTGTCTTGGAGGTATGGAGGATTTGACTGGGCATTCCAATATCAGTTTGGGTAAACTACAAGTTTAATATTTAAACTATTAGTTTTTTACCTGTTTTAGTATCTAAACTTTTAATTTTTTTAAAACTATATCTAACATTTAGTTTTTGTTTCATTTTAGTACCCGTTAAAAACTTAACGTTAAGCTTATTTTATTTTTTTTGAAAAGTTAGGTACAAAAAATGTACCAAAAATGATAGTTAGGTATTAAATGTGTTAAGTTTGCAACGGTGGGTACTAAAATAAAATAAAAATTAAACATCAGGTATAATTTAAAAAAATGAAAATTTATGTACTTAAACATACCAAAATTGATAATTAAATACTAAACCTGTAGTTTATCCTATTATTTTATTTGGGTCTAGATTATAAGTCAAATAAGAAACTTTTAGATCATCAAATAGAATATTTGGATTAAATTCAAGATCGAAGAGATAAGCTCTTGTTTAGAGGAGGCAAGTAACTGCTACGTTTAGTTCACCAAAAAATTATTAACAGAGATAATAATTTCTAAAAAAAAAAAATTATTTAAATTATCTTTATTCTTATTAGAAAAGAAAAAAAATATTAACCGTAATATTTTTTTTTGACAACAATAATAATAATAATGTTATTCTTATACATCCATTTAAGTATTTTTCAATGTTTATCACTTCAAATAATAATAATATAGTTTTATTTCACAAGTATACTAAATAATATTTATAAAATATTATATTTAAATCCAGGAAAATAAAAAAAATTACTTGAAATTCAACCATAATCCAATTTCATTTCTTATGCTAATAAAATTTAAGTTGGACTTAAATTTAAGGGGGGAAAGCCAATCTTATAATGTGGATCGGGTCAAAACCCATTTGGGTCCATGCCAATCCCAACTCACAACGATGGTACTGGAGATATCTAGAGGGCTTAATACTAAAATAAGTGCTCAAACTATACCTAAATTCTCAAATAGGTATTCAAATTATTTTTTGACTCATTCAGGTACCTAACGTTATAAACGATGTCATTTTAGTTGCCCGGCCCGTCAACGACGTTAATTTCCCTCGTTAAGTGACATGTGTAACAATCTAGTGATTTTAAATTTTTTATTAAAAGTTAAAATTATATATTTTTTTAAAATGAAAAATAAACATTTTGAAATAACCCCAAAACTTTGAAAACCTTCATTTCAATCCTTAAACCCAAATCGATCATCGCCCATTGCCGTCGAAAAACTCCACCGACCTCATCTTCCCCGGTAAACAAATCCCCCATGAAATCATGATCGATCAACGACGAATCGACGTTTTATATCCTACGAACCTTAAGATGAAAATCGTGATCCCACGAATCTCGGCATCCAATTGACGATAACTACGACGGCGTATGACTAGGAGGATGGTATGAACTACGTCGGCGGTGGTGGTCATGACAGGAAAGGACAACGGCTACGGGTTAAGGATATGATTTGAGGATTTTAGGTATTTTTAGGATTTTTTAAATTTAAGAGAAATTAGAGGTTTTCTTATAAATAAAATAATATTTTTTAAAATAAATTTTGAAATCACCCGATTGTGACATGTCATTAAACGGGAAAAATTAAGGTCGTTGATGCTCGAACACCTAAAATGATAATATTTATAACGTTAAACACCTGAATGAATAAAAAAAATTAGGCAGCTATTAGAAAATTGAAGTATAATTTAAGCACTTATTTTGATATTAATCCTATCTAGAGAAGTGAACATAGATCAGAACGAAGTTAGCCTGTCTGCAAGTTGCCTTATTCATTAATATTTGGTCGGCTCAAATGGTTTGCCCGTAACTCAACTTCCTTCTACACGCCTATCTGCCCGCTGCCCTAATCCTGCTGTCACCACACTAATGTAGCCCTAGAGGCCGCCTCTATATAACCTTCGTATCCATCCTCCATTTCCACTGCCTCCCTTTCCTCCTCCTCCTTCTTCTTCTTCAGTTATGTCCGTAACAACATCTCAGGTTGTCTGTTTTCTTTGTTAAACATCTGTTTGAAAAGTGCAAACAACTTCCATCCGCCTGTGATAACTACATGCTGAGCAGAGCGGCCATACATTTGCACAGATTAACTTAACAAAATAGTCTTATGCTATTTTTGCTTATTTTTTTAAATGGGTTTACGTCAATGTTTTCCGGACATGCATATATGTAAACCCATTTGATTTTTGTAGCAGACACTGTCGATTTTTCGATTAAAAACGATGTTTTCCATTCAACTCTTTGGAACTTGCATTCTAGGAAAAGATAACGGTGGGACACAGGGATATTTTGGTATACCTTTTACCAAAGGAGAGTGATGCTTGCTTTCCATAAACATGCAGAAAGTAATCTCCAATTGCGGCAAGCTTGCTGAAAATGGAAAACGGTTCGTTTCTGCTTTTGTATTGGTACACAGTATAAAATCCAAGCTTTATCTGTTCCAACAAAATTTTGTTAGGGTTAGATTAATATTGATTTTGAGATGTACGGTGAGAATTTCACTTATTAATTGGTGTCTAAAGTTGTTCCTTTTATATAAAACAATGGATTTCCATTACCTTCCAAGATAAATTGCTTCGCCGAGGAAAATGGCACTCATAACAGCAGCTATAACAATGGAAGTCGGTGTGAAAATTGCAACAAACACAGGCACCTTCAACCGCACACCCCATGTGTGTACAACTGCTAAACGAGAACCCGAAAATCCCCTAAACGAGCAAGCCATTAACGAACAAATAAGTGACATTCCAATACTGCAACTACTGTATTCGAATGCCAAAGGTGTTACCGTATTCAGGACTGAAACGACTGATACACTAGACGTTAAACTCCATGAACTCAACCGGGGTTCTGAAAGTAAGCCTACTGGTACAGCCAGAAGAGCCACAGACAATTGTAAAAGAAGATTACAACAAACTCGTCTGAATATATCTTCATTGTTTGGGCCTGTAAAGATACATACACGTTGGCTTCATGAGATTAGGTGCTTGATATTAAAGAATTTATGGTGGAGCTTGGGATCATGTATATTACCAGATTGATATAGCAGTATGAATAAAGAAGATATGCAAGAGTTTCGAGGATGCCACCAATGATCCAATTAGATTGAGAAGACTCCAAAGACCTTTGAAGTTGTAGATCAGATGATGATGATGATGATGATATAATTATGTGGCCTTTGTAGAAAATCATGACAAATGCACCGGATATTGATGGAAACAACTTTTTGGTCCCTTAATTATTTTTACTCCTAAACTTTTATTGTATTCTTGTGGGCACTAGTATTTTTGTTTTCTGTAAAAAAAATATAAAGTATATATACTATAAAGTATAATATATATATATATATATAAACTATAAGGTATATATACTTTAAAGTATAAAGTATATATATAGTATAAAGTATAAGTATATATATAAACTATAAAGTATATATATGTAGTATAAAGTATAAGCATATATATATATAAAGTTTTAGTATAAAGTATATAATATAAAGAATATAAATATTAAATATAAGTATATAAGGATATAATATAAAATATATTAATATTAAATATAAGTATATATATATATATATGTATATATATATATATATATAAAGGATTTGTATTCATTTCTCTATTTTGTTGTAACACACTAAACTCTCCAATTTAATCTTTTGAATGTCTCTCTAAATATTTTCTTCGAATCATGAATCTCTGTTTGTAACTGAAGACTTAGCTACTGAAATTTGAAATCATCGATAGAATCTGATGATGTATGTCCCACTAAGGAAGTCTATGATTTACCATAGACCTTATTATTTATTGCATTCATCTGGTAGTTCTGTATTACTAAGTTTTTCAAAGATCACTTTGTTACTTACCATTTCAGGTTAAAGAGTTTGATTTTGTGCTTATACCGACATCAGTAAAGGAGTTTCACCGGCGTTGCTTGCGGAGTACGGTGCATGTAGGTTGTGTTTTGTTTTTATATTCGAGTCTGAAACTTGTGTTACTACTGACTATTAGTGGATTTTATTTTAATATATAAATGGTTTTATAAATTTGTATTTTATCTATAAATTATTTTACGGTTTTAAATGCAACAATTTTTTTAAAAAATTTTTCACTCCTTGGAAAGGATCGGGTCACCCACATTGATCTAAGGGTGTTACAGTCAGTCAACTACCATTGCCAAAAATGGTCGACGTGACTACTACTGTCCAAACGCCTCATCGACTGCCACTGTCCCAACGATCAGTAAAAGGGATTTATGAAATTTTTAAGAATTTTAATATTTGAGATTTTAGTGATTTAGGTTTATAAATTTTGGGGATTCGGTGACGGTCGATCACCGGTGGATTTATCGGTGGTTGTTCTTCATATAGTTGATCGTTGGCAAAGGGCGATGGTCGACGACCGACGTGAGTATAGGGATTGGAATTATAATTTTCAAAATTTTGAGTTTTTTTAAAAATTTGAGAAAATTTTAAGGGTTTTTAAAAGTTTTTTTTTAATTTTAACTTTTTTTATAAAAATCAAAATTATATAAAAGGTGACATCTATCACTTAATGAACTTTTTTAATTGTCGTTAGGTGGATACTTAAATAGTAACATTTATAATGTTAGACATCTGAATGAATCGGATATTTAAAGAAAACATATAATTTTTAACTTATTTTCTAATTAAACCTCTATAGAATCATTTTTTAAAATATATCAGTACGTCTGTCTTTTTGTTTTATATTTAGTGGTTGGCGTTGGTGATCATATGGCATCTCAATTTCCAGACTACTGTACTTGTTAATTAATTTATTAAGGGTTCATTTTCACTCTATAATTAATTTTATAATTTTGCGATTATAGTTATAGTTCACCCTTATTTTTATTATCTTTAAGTACAATTAAAAATATAAACATATATTAAAAAGAAAAGTGAGTTCATCTAAATTTTCAATTTTTTTAAAATCATAACTAACAATTAATTTTTATTTCATTTTAATAATTATCGTTAAAAACTTAATGTTTTTAGTACCTAAACTATACGTTTTAGTCCTTAAATTTTTAATTGTTTTCTAGATTTAACGCTAAACTTTAAACTTAGTACTAAAATAAAAAAAAAACTAAATTTTCAATATGATTTAAAAAAAATAAAAATTTAGATATTAAAATAGATTAAAACAGATAATTTTGATATTAAATACATAATTTATCCTACAACAATAACAAAGATTAATGGGTAGGATAACATATTTATAAACGTGCGGCTGAAAACACAGCATCGGCATTACAATTACAAACTCGAACAGAAATCGATGGTCATGGCAGCTGCTAAGCCATTGCCATTATCTCTTCACGCTCACAAAATCCTCTCTTCATCCAACCAAATTTCACCCTCCCTTCTTCATTTCCGTCAATGCTACTACATCAACTCAATAAGCCAACAACCACAACAAAGGCGAAAACATTCAAGCTCCTTCAATGGCGCCTACAGCTTGGTTATCAAAGCTTACATGGAGAACCCAAACTCCTTCTCCGGTTTCGCTAACAAAGTCATCGGCTCTCTCCCTATAATCGGGCTTGTCGCCAGGATTCTCAGTGATGAAGGCGGTGTTGGTGGAGATATCATCGATTTTGCCGAATTTAGAAGAAGGGTCGGCAAGAAATGTACTGTTACTGATTCCAGAGCCTTTAATGAGTTCCAGGAGAGGAGAGGCCGGGTATTTTTCTTCACTTTTTGAACTCCTTTTGCTCTAGCATCATGTTGATAACTTTGTGTTTTGGGTATTTTCTGGTGGATGTGGGTGATGGAATCATGCATTGTTTTGTTATTTTGATATTGTTGTAACTTGGTATTGGAGTTTCTTATGTTCTACCATGAAATTAATGAAGAGTTTGGGATGGGGTTTCGTTTTTTTTGTACAGGAAGGGGATCCTTTGTATGTTCTGCTATGTTGTTGGCTAGCAGCTGTCGGTGCCGGTCTTCTTAAATCCGAGGAGATATTGGAGGGGGTGGCAAGGCTTCGGATTTCGAATGATATAGAATTTGAAGAGCAGACTTTTATTGCAATGATGAATGAAGCGAGAGAGGTCAGTTCATTCTTGTTCCTATTATCCCATTTCGGTTCAAATTCATCTCATGCTTGTTTGTGTTTCTATTTTTGTGTTGTTCCTGGAGTTTTTTATGCTCATTTCAGATTCTTTCAAATGTATGTACTGTTAATGATTTACTCGCTACAGAGAAGAGCGAAGTTGAATGCTGGTGCCCCAAATCTTCCCATGGAGATTCGAGCTGAAAAGGCCCTCGATGCGATTTACGTCTGTTGCTTCGGGAGAGATCCGATCGAAGAGGAAGACGAGAGCTTGCTTAATATCATGCTAAGAGCAGTCTTCCCAACCATTGAGCAATCAACGATTCAAAAACTCATCAAGGACAAGGCAATCAAAGTAGCAGAAGGCGGTGATAATGCAGGCATCGTTCCAGAACCAAAACCATTGTCAAAGGAAGCTGTACAAATGCAAATGAAAGACCTTGAATTCCTTAAACAAAACAAGGAGACATGAAACTACTTATTTTTAACGAAGAAAGGAACCCTGTTCGTTTCTTCGAACAGCACTTGGATTGTAAGAAAATGACTCAATGATGTCGAAATCATCGAACACTTCCCTTGAGACATAGATCCTCCATGTTCAGATTGTTCCCGACAGCAGATGAATCATGGGGCTTACACTCAGCCTTCCACTTTCCCCTGTTCTCTGTTTATGCATCTTGTTGTTTCTGTAGTTTCGACAACTATGTTTTTGGACAGTATAGCTTGTTTGGTAGATGGCGTGTCTTTGTCTCGAACGTTCTCAATCCTTCTGCGCTTCTGAAACATAATTTGCCTTTTGTAATATGAAATTACAGGAAAACTATATCATCAACACAAATATTTTGATGTTTACAAAGACAAGTTGTGTTATGAACTCATGAAAGTTTACAAATTTTAAAGCACGAAAGTAAAAGTTCCAAAATTTTAAGGCTTGAAGAGAAAAAAGCTAATAACTTCAATACTCCCTAATATTGCTGTTAGTCCAAACCAATCAGCTAAAAGATGGCAGTTTGTTCGCTCCTTCCAGCACTTTCCCTCCAATCCCCATCCCTTTCCTTCCCATTTTCTCGCCCACCAAACAGAACCCCAAAGCTCCCTCGCCTCTCTCTCGCTTCCACTTCAAAGCCTTCTTCTCTCTTTCCAACCAATAAACTCTCTCTCCCTCCTCTCCACAGTCTCGGTTTCATTCAATCCAGAAACAGCAATTCTAGTAATAATTGCATCGTTTCTTCAGTTTTCGATTCCTTCTTTATTATCTGCACTTCACTCGCCCTTTCTTTCTCGCTTTTTGTAACCGATGTAGGAGCAGCCTCAGCCTTTGTGGTAACCCCTCCTCGGAAGTTACAGTCCGATGAGTTGGCTACTGTTCGTCTTTTTCAAGAGAATACTCCCTCCGTTGTTAATATCACCAATCTCGCCGCCAGGTTTATTCAAACTTGAATTTCCCCTTTCTATTTCCCGTTTCTAAAGTTTCTTATTCTGGGCAATCGGTTGTTTTCCAGGCAGGACGCTTTTACATTGGATTTGCTGGAGGTTCCACAAGGATCTGGCTCGGGTTTCGTTTGGGACGAAGGCGGCCACGTTGTCACCAATTATCATGTGATCCGTGGTGCTTCTGATCTCAAGTTGGTTCTTTTATTAATTACACTGTTAGAGCAATGAGAGAGTGCATAATATAATTTTGAGGAAATATGCAATTGATTTGGAGGTTTTGAGCTTGATTTAGTTGCTATTATGATTGCTTCTTAGTCTCCAAAGTAATCATATATAAGCGGAAGCTAGCCATGGTAATTATGTGGTCTAGGAGTTAGTATTCGATCTAGTCAAATAAAAAAATTGCGAATTAGTCAAGTTGATAATCTTATTTTATAACCCAAACTGTCGAGTAGTTTTTCTCTCCCGTTTATGAAGGATAACCTTCTTGTACTTAATATTGAAACTTCTAAAATTGGTGCTCATCACTTGCAGGGTTACTTTTGCTGATCAGTCGACTTACGATGCGAAAGTTCTTGGATTCGACCCAGACAAGGATGTTGCCCTGTTGCGTGTTGACGCGCCGAAAGACAAACTAAGACCTGTTCCCGTTGGTACCTCAGCAGATTTACTTGTTGGCCAGAAAGTTTATGCAATTGGTAACCCAGTGAGTGTACATGTTTATTTGTTGGGCAAAATGTTTATGCTAGGGTGTTAGTGTTAGATACAAGTACGTTCCCAGAACCGGAATTTCGATTTTTGGATGTTCGTTCAAGTATCATATCTCCATACCTATTTCCGGATATGCATCAGACACAGACACATAAAGAAAAGTGAAGATTCCAAGCAACATAGATGAATTTGAATACTGAAAGTGTCGCCCTCACTAGTTATGTGTTTTTTATGTGCCTGATAAAAAAGATCTAATGATCATGTGCTTTGATGTTCATTTTCTAACTCTTCGGTTGTTTCTTCTGAGTGGATTTCTGATTTTTCTTTGGCATGTTCTTGCAGTTTGGACTAGATCATACACTTACAACTGGTGTTATCAGGTACTGAAGACCAATGGTTTGTGGCCGATATGTCATATTACCTACCTTTGCTGATTTCTATATGAATTACGGTTTCGCTAATGCTTCTTTTATGTTACCTGTAGTGGACTTCGCAGAGAGATCAGTTCCGCGGCAACGGGTCGGCCGATTCAAGATGTTATACAGACAGATGCCGCGATTAATCCTGGTAATAGTGGAGGACCACTCCTCGATAGTTCGGGAAATCTTATCGGGATAAACACTGCTATATATTCAACTTCTGGTGCATCTTCTGGTGTTGGATTTTCGATTCCAGTCGACACGGTGCGTATTACACAGACCTTGTTTCATTGTATTCTGATCTGTGTGGTGAGATGCTAGAATGTATTTGTTTAATTGTCCTTCCGTTATGATTAATTCATCCAGCTATTCCTACATGTACAGGTTAGTGGCATCGTTGATCAGTTGGTGAAGTTTGGGAAAGTGACCAGACCTGTTTTAGGTATTAAATTTGCACCCGATCAATCCGTCGAGCAGTTGGGAGTAAGTGGCGGGCTCGTCTTGGACGCTCCTGCGAACGGTCCAGCCGGCAAGGCGGTATATGTTTTCTGCGTCGGATTTTCGTGTGTTATTGAAGATCGTTACACTTCAATGACGAGCTGACGGCTAAACCCTTGATATATAACAGGGTTTGCGACCTACAAAGCGCGATGCATATGGTAGACTCATTTTGGGCGATATAATAACATCCGTTAACGGAAAGAAGGTCACCAATGGCACGGACTTATACAGAATTCTTGACCAGTGCAAAGTCGGCGATAAGGTATGTCATCGAATACCGCCTGTACGGCACTCGTATTCATCGTATGTTTTTGAAGCACAAACTTTCATATCTTCACTCTCGCAGGTTACAGTCGAGGTCTTGCGCGGTGACCGTACGGAGAAGATCCCGGTAGTTCTCGAGCCACAGCCGGATGAGACGTAAAATGTCTTTTTGATATGCTGTGTATTCATTTCGTCAATGTTAGGGTTCGCAAGGACTTTTAACTCTCACGTGGTTATATGGCTTAATACTATAATAAGCATTTAAACTATGACTCAAAATATTTTAATGTCTAAAAAAAATTTAGTTAAAAAAATATTTAATATTTTCAAAGTTATATTTTTAGGTGTTCGGATATTAACTACTATTAAAAATATCTGTTAAGTAACATATATCATAATTTTTAAAATTTATTTAAAAAATTAAAATTAAAAAGAGCAACGTACTCCCTCGTTTCTCCCCCTTTTCTTTTTCCCTTTATAGTCATTGGTTAACCAGCCGTGATTGTCACAGGAATCAATCCCGATTAAATTTTTGTTGACTTTTCGTCATAATCTATCACGTCATGAAGAAATATTCAAAAGTTTGTCAAAATTTAAACTACTATCGTTTTTCTTCGTTAATTTCAATAGATTTCGATGTACATAAATCACATTGCCACCACTATTTTAATCATCGTGTTATTCTGATTAAAACTAAACTGTTTGACGATAACGGTAAAGGTCGGAGATGATTAGCGATGATTGTTAAAGGATGTTGAGATGATAAATTTTATATTTTATAATTTCAATAAAATTTTGTGATTTTTTATAAATACATTAAGTTTTTTTTAAATAATATTTTTATTATTAAAATATTAAAAATTATAATGATATACATCTAAAAGTATAAGCAAACGTTAAACATTATTTTTAATAAACAAAATCTTTAGACACTCAAAATTTTCTTTGAGACATAATTTGGGAATTTATTTTTGGGTAAATTACATGTTTAGTATTTAAAGTTCATTTTTTGTACATTTTAATACACGAAGTTTCAATTTTTTATAAAATCAACAATTAAATGTTATTTTAATTTTTATTCAACCAATAAGGTGGTAACACATGTCACCATCTTATTGAAATAAAATTAACCCCTATTGTGCATAGGAATTGAACCCACTCCTCTTGGAGAAGTGCTTGGCCACTGGACAGTCGCAAAGCAATGTAGTTGTTACTTTTTCAACAAAACCTATATCACTTTTTCACCAAAATATATTTTAGTATAAACTTTATAAAATATTAAATCATTAAAATAAACACTATTTTTAACTTCATAATCCTATTAATTAAATTAATAAAAAATTTAAATTTTTTATGATAAAAATAATTTTTTATATTTATTTAATTTTAATTTTATATTATATGATCATAAATAAATATTTAAAATTTAATTTTTAAAATATTTTACTATTGATTTTTTAAACACATATTTAGTTATTTTTATTCCAAAAAAAAGTTAAAATAATTTAATTTTTAATTAAGTAATTTGGTTTATAATGAAAAATGTTTTATATTTTTAAATAAATTAATATTTTAGTCTTCAATTAAACAATTGTATAAAATAAATATAAAATTGATGATATATGACAAATTTCATATACCAGTTTAATGGTTGAACACTAATTTTTTTGGGGGAGAAGTTCTAAAATTGAGTACTAATTTTAATTAAAATATCTTAATTTTTGGTGGTTATGGAGTATAAATTAAATATAATTTTGTAAAAATTGAAACTTCAAGTACTAAACATATCAAAAGTGAAACTTTAGGTACTAAACACACAATTTACCCCTTATTTTTTTTATATTAAGCCTAGGTATATAGAAGCTACTTATTTGTTTTGTTTTCCTATTGTACACAATATATATGCAAGACGTCTCTTTAAGCTGGACTCTTGCAAATTGTGAGAAGCCATTGCTTGAACTTCAGTCTCAGGTAACTTCATTGCAAATTAGTGTTAAAAATGCTTTTTTAGCCCCGCCTGGTCTTATCTTGGTTCAGGACCCAATACCAAAGGAAACCCAGAAAAAAAAAAAGGAAAATGAAGAGATTTGAAAAGGCTCAGAGAGTTTGCTGTCTCTGCTCAAGGAAAAACCTTCGAAAAGCTTTTCTCATACAAGAGGTGTCAGAAATAAAAAGCACTCTTCATCTTCGCCTTCTCGTCATTAATCTCTTTCATTCTCTATCGTTTGGTGAGAAAGAAAAAAGATACATAAAATTAAAATGAAACGGAAAACAGGGTTTCAAAGAAATTGCAGGAATGAAGTAGTTGGCGGCTATGGATGATTTAGGGTTACAGATTTTAGATGCGAATTGCAAAGGATTGGTGGGAGATGCATTTTATAGGTTTTAAATGGGCCTTTTGGGTTCGAATAAGCTTCTACAGTCAATTTCAAGACGAGTTAAATTGGGCCTAAAATGGTTTTTAAATTCAATTGATTAAAAATGCTTCTCGATAAATAAATTGTATTTGAATGAATAAGATTATGTTTATACTTTTTTATTTACTTTTTAAATTGTTCACATTTTATACTCAGAACTGATGCATGGAACTTTGATCCATGCAAAAATGGACATGGTCACGTTTTGATTATCCATGTCTAGAGTTTTTCAATTAATACCTCAAATATAAAAGAGAGGGAAAATCAAAATAAAAGATAAAAGAAGCATCATCGAATTGAAGACGAGGAATAACGGGTTGTGAAACCCTCATACAACGTACAAAATTTAAGATTATCATATATTATACTTTTTTTCTGAATTTTATATTAAAAAATTTATTTTCGTCTCCTGAAATTTTAAAAGATTAAGTTCATTCATTGAAATTTTATAAATTCAAATATGTCCCTAACATAAAATCATGCATTCATCCTACGTACAACCATACAGTTTGTCATAAAAAGAAATTAAACCCTACTAAAAAAATTGAAAACCATCGAGTTTGGATGCAACTGACTTGTCCAAAGACCATACCAACCTTCCTTTTGTTGGTTGGACCAACTATGCAATAAACGATGAGCAGTCGGTTCTAAAATCATCGATCACCAAATGCATAGTCTATATTTTGCTCTCACAGGTCACACGTTTGAAACTTTCATTTGTGTCGGTGAGATTCTATATCGGTTCAGATCGTTCTTATAGATATATTATAAATACTCTCGACCAATTTGTTATTTTTTAAATTTTAATAAAAAATAAAATTTATTTAAATAGTTATTTATCTTTTTTAATTTTATATATACACTCTCACATTAATAACTCGTTAAAAGTCTAACAATAATTAATTTTTATTGATTATATCTTAATTAAGTAAAAAAGTGGTTAAATATTATATTTTTTAAATTTAATAAGAAAATATATAAAAAAATTAAACGAAAGTGATAATCTTGTAATTTTATCCATTTAAATAATTAAAAATTATAATTTAACCAAACAAAAAACTATTACTACTTTATCTTAATCCTAAATAAAATAAAATAATCTGATTCAATCTCATTTCTCTTTTGGTCCTCTGTCGTGGAAAACGCTGCAAAGATACTCATAAGAAACCCAAAAAATAGCTGGAAATTTAAATCTTGTTTCTTCTCGAAGAAATAAATAAATAAATAAATAAAAGAGCGACTATCGCTTGATCTTCTTCGAACCGACGCCGTCAGGTACTTCGATTTCCATGAATGCTCTTTTCAGTTGCTCAGATCTGAATTTAATTTTTATGATTTTGGATGGCTATCTCGATCTCCAGATAAAAAGTATAGATTAGGGTTCTAACTTATAGTTTACCTCCAGTTTTAGGGTCAGTGTTTGATTGTTTATTATCTGAATATGACGTGGAAGAATTTTGTTTTCATGTTATTGAATCCAGGTCTGAGTGAATGCGAAACGTATTGTTGTTGGATTCATATTCTGTTATCGATTTTATTATTTATGTTTAAAAAAGTGATTAAAAATATAATGATAAAAGTCAATAAAAATAATAATACTAAGCATAGTATGTTGAAAATTTTACTATTGGTTTATAATGTATCATAGTAAAACTTTAAGCATTCAGATATGTTAAGGTGAAGAGATACTCCAACATGAAGCTAAAATGTAGTGATTTCATGTGGGAGTTAAAAGCTTCATGAGTCTATAAAGATGGTGATATAATTAATGAGATTATTTTGATTAAGTAAACTCAGTAGTGAAAATGGCTGTCTGAGAAGTGAGAATCAATAAAAAAAAAATTCTAAGAAGTAACAATCTCTAATAGAGAAATAGCTTTATGTATTGAACTCACATAATTAAGCAATGTTTACTTGATTTAGATTTTTCCGACATGGATACATTAAATTTTCCCTCGTTTTCCTTGTATTTGAATGGTTCTTGTAGGATCATTTCCTGTGCTTATGTTCTGATATGTATGAGACATGGTTATTCTAAGAAAAACGAAGAGCTGAAGTAACATAGATGTTAAGTCAGATAAATGAATGAGTCAATATTTATCAGGATAAATTTGACATAAGTCTGAATCAAGCTCACCTGAACATAGAATTTCATGATTTCAAAGTCTTTTTTCTTCCCTTTTGTCATTAATAAAGAATCTGCTAGAATTGAGAAACTGTAAAAGCATTCTAGAAACCGGAAAAGAGTAAGAATAACTGATTAGTCATTTTTAGCTGCTTGGTATCTAGTTCTAGCGTTTCAAGAAAAATCAAAACTTAAACTGAACATGTTTCTGAACTTTTAACTGCCTGAGAAGTGGTTCTCTTGATCCAAGTAGAAGCAGAACAGTTAGATTTTGCCAAATTGTTCAACCATGAGAGAGATGGTTCTAATTATTTTTTGATAAGATAGATGGTTCTAATTATCAAAGCAAAAACAGGATTGAAACTGAATATTTTGCTCGACTGATTTGCTCTCTGACAAGAAGGGTCTAGTATTTACCTGCTTATATGGAACTAAAGGAATCTCTTTAATGAACTGACTTTTCCATCTTTCATGTACTAGCAATTGTTTAAGAATTGTTTTCTTTGTAGTTTGTTGTTTCATTTAGAGGTGATTTTTATACATTGATATATGGATTTTTCAACTTCACATGCCTTCTTTTACTTCTATTTTTTTAATACATGCTTTGTACACCCTTTGACTTTTTGGTTGGTAATAGAACAACATCTAAATATTTTTACCGATAATCTTTATTAGCTTAGAGCCTCAAGGCTCATCTTAGAGATATATGGGTTTGTTTGGGGTTTGCTCCTTTAATGGACTTTTTTGAATTATATTTAATTAAGCCTATTTTCTATGCAATTTTGAAGGAGTTCTAAATTTCCATTTACGGGATTAAGAAACATATTCTTTTCTTAATTATAAGATTTTTTAAGTATTTCTTATTCTACTTTACGAAATATGTCAGTTTGTTAAATTTACTGGTGAAATTTGATTGTGTATCAGAGATCATTCTATTTAAATGGTATAAAAATGTGTAGTCTAGTCATTGAAAAAGATTAACAAACCAAATAACTGAAGTTCTCATTGATGAATACATTGCAGTTCATGGACAAGCAAATAATGGACTTAACATATTCTTCCTCTTCACCTCCCCAAAATTCCAGCAAAGAATACATCGATCTGATTAATTACCAACAAAACGAAGATACTCACAATCAAGACTCTGGGTTTAGTGCTGGTAATGACTGGATTAATAACAGGGAAGATATTGTCCCTATCTATGATTTCCAACCGATCCGACATGTTTCAACTAGCCCTGATGTCCCTGGAGTTATTAATAAGCCCTGGTCCTGGAGTTATATTGATTCTAAAATTAAGGTAAATCTTCAACCTCCAATTCTTTTTGGTTTTTTGGTGATAAGTAGTGGATAATACTTTATGTTCTAGATATTTATATTTTATTGAATTGATTCAATTAAAGTTACTTGGATTTTTTTAATAATTTTGGGAGTTTATTTTGTGAAAAGTAGTTTGATTAATAAACTTATGGATATGTTGTTAATCTTTTGAAAGTTAAACATACTACGTTTTACTTGGATTTGAAATATTTTTCCGGGTTTATTCAATGAAATGTTGTTTGAATAATAATCTTGTGGATCTGGAGTTAATATTTATATAGTTAACCTCACTACTTATGTGGGTTTTTTGAGATTACTTTTTCTCTTTATAGTTAGATTAGTAAACTTTTATTAGTATCAACTTGATTTCTTAGTAGTTACTAGATTCAATTGGGTTTCTTCAGCTGCATTACTGTTTACTTTTTCATTTTCCTCTCTGTGGACAGAAGTATGGTTCTCTGGACTCACTTGAACCTGTAAAAGAAATTCAAGAAAAGGACCAAAAATCTGTTGACACATCATTAGTCGCTGCAATTGACCAAACCATGAAGAAACATACTGATAATTTGATGCTCATGTTAGAAGGTGTCGGTGCCCGACTTACACAGCTGGAGAGTAGAACCAGTAACCTTGAGGCTTCTGTGGATGATTTAAAGGTGTCTATAGGAAACAATCACGTAAACAATGATTGGAAAAGGAGACAGCTAGAGAATATTTTAAAAGAGGTATGGTATTTTCTAAAATATATTCTCCCTTGATATTTGGTTCTGTTTTGGTTGCCATTGGTATTTAAAGGAAGAATTAGATGTTTCTGTGTCTTGTTAGCTCAAGTCTCACAGCTTTAATTGATGATTTTAAGAGCTTCAGAAGTAAATCTATATTGTGTATCTTGTTGGCTCAAGTAGCTGTGATTGACTTATAGCAGTCAAATTAGTAAACTGCGTTGGAAGACATGAAAATAAACAATATGAGTTATCACACCATCTAGGCACTGCTTTTGTCTTTTATTATATTCTCAGTCTCTCTAAATTGAAACCTTTATTGACTTCATTTCTCGTATGTCTTCATCCATTAGTGAAGTGAAGAAATCATATATGCTTTCCAAAACCAAGATTGATTTCTTGCTCGCCTTTTCCAAATCCTAGGGGCATGTTATTCAGCTGCAAAGATCTTCTAGTGACTAGCAATTCCTTATTAGAATGGAAATCTGGCTGTGTTTTTTCATGGCACTTACGAAACTTGCAAGGAGGAGTAATTTTCTAGCCACATGTAAAAAACCAAGTTACTTGCAAGAAATATTTGTTTATGTGGGATTGTTAAGGGAGAGAATT